CTTGTTCGTTGTTCCTTCAATGCATGCCTTCGTAACTTTGAATGTACGCGCCAAGTTTCCGCAAAATTGCTTCAGTATCATGCCCGTAGCCAGGGGGGGTTCGGGGGGTTCGGAAGAACCCCCCCACAAGGCTCAAAGGTCCACTTTTTGGTCCACTTTTTATGTAAAGGTCCACTTTTTGGTCCACATTTTATGTAAAGGTCCACTTTTTGGTCCACATTTTATGTAGAAAAACTGCTCCCTTTGTCATTGAATAAAAATCTATCTCTGATTTTTTCTTGGAAATCCTCTTGAAAATGCACGAAATGCCATTTTAGAAGGTTCATTTTTCAAAATTTTCCGGGGGAGCATGCCCCCGGACCCCCCTAGGAACCTCGCGCCTTCGGCGCTCGCCTCGCGCCTACGGCGCTCGAGGTCCCCTCAAGCAGTGGGAAGAACCCCCCCATTCAAAATCCTGGCTACGGGCATGAGTATTATATGTGTTTTGAGTCTCTCGTAATATTCTCCAACAATTCTCATGCGTTGTGTTGTTCAATTAAAGCTAAGGTACTGAATTTATGGAGAGGTTGATGTGTAATCTCCAAGCAGATCCCTTTCGGTGGCAAAAAACAGTATCAAATTGGCCAGGCAGTATCCATTAGCCAGAGAAGGTCGCCGGCCACCGACGGGTGGGGGTACCGACAAAAAAAAAGGCCATATATAAAAATGTGGGGTCGTGTGGCGCAACGGCAGCGTTCGCGACTCGGAACCAAGAGGTCCCGGGTTCGAGTCCTGACAGGCCACCGATCTTGTGCTCTTGGGAAAGGCACTTTACACGACTTTCCCTACTAGACTCAAGTGAAAATGAGTATTTTCTGTCCAGTATTTGTTTCTATGTGTGGGGCACAACACCAGCAACAGCTGCCTCTGTTCTGCGTGTATTGTTCTGTTGCAATTTCAATAAATCAAATCAAATCAAATCAAATCAAAAAGCTAACGATCATTCCCCCACAACCTCTGCTTGGACAGTAGTTTATGTGCGGTAGTGGGGGTGACATACGGATGATTTGGCGGCTGTTACGGCTCGGTTGCTCCATTTCAACAAGGCGGCTTTTCTTTCGCCAAACAAAGCTGCAGCCAGCTCGTGACCGATCGTCTAAGGGGTCACCGCTTCTATTAAACACCAGAAACACACTCCGCATCTCAATACTAGTACATCGACAAATGCACGGATACAGACACAGTAAACATATATACAGGTCTATCAGAAATTACCGCTGGATTTTTTAAAGGCATCCAGTGCAGTAAATACGGCTTGGAAACCCGAGTTTTCAGAGCCAATATTCTAGTCATTTATCTGCATACTAAGTTGAAATCACACTATCCCAATATTGACCCTCATGGAGAAAAAATTCCCAAAATTCCTACGGAAAATGGTTACCGTAAGGGCCCTTGGCTGATTTTTAGGGTACCACCCAGAAAATAAAGGACTCATCTTGGGGTTTGTTTCTGCAGTTTTAAATGCCCAAAGTATTAAATGCTGTCTCAAATGTGCCAATGTAAAGCAGTATGTGTCAATATCACAAAGATTGCCTTATTGTCTTCGTCAGAAGGACTATGAAATTGTCTCGCCGGAGTGTGGGGAACTGCGGATTTTGCGATATAACTCTGGAAGGCATGATTCGACGTCCATGATTTTTGGCAGGCAGATTACCGCTGTTAAGGCCGAAGTCAAGTACAAGTTTTGGCTTCGTGGGGGGTCCGTGCGTCACGTTAGTGCACCTTTTGTGTTTGTGGCTTGTTAGCAAGATAACTCAAGTATTTGTAAAATGTTGATTATAATTCTTGGTGTGGTGCTTACTATTCTCAGGACCAAGGTTAAGTTCGTTACTGAGCTTCGTGGGGGGTTTCGTTGTGACTACAGGGGGCATTTTGTTAATTTTTCTTGTGAGCAGGATAACTTTTGTATGTGTGGATGGAAGTTAATGAAATTTGATAGGCATATTACTGTCGTGGTCTCCAAGATTGAGTTCAAAGATGAGAGTCGTGGAGGTCGTTATGTCCCCGTAATAGGACCTTTTGTGTTTAGAAATCCCCCACCTACATCTGCTTGGAGACAGCCGACAGCTGGATATAGCGGGGAACCCCATAATGGGATGGGATCAAATGACGTTACATTGAGGGATTGTACTATAACTTCAGCAGGGGGAGGATAGGTTGGACATATGTCAGGTTATTGTCTACGGCCACACCAAGTAGTTGCTATGGATGACGTCCACTGGAGACCTTAAATATAATTTCCTTAAATTTAAGGCAAGCGCGCAATAAAAACACGAAGGGCCGAAAAACGAGATGCCTAGATTTGGAATATACTAACTGTAGAAGTACAAATGTTAGGACACAAAGAACACAAGAAACAAGTCTTCTATTTGTCATAAAGACAAATTAACAAAACAGCAGTAGTCACCCTGTTCTGATTCTTTCCTTTATAACATCTTCTCTTATCATATTTTGCGGCGCTGTCGTGACACTTTCAACACAGTAAGAATTTCTTGAACGTTTTTTTTCCAGTAACAGTCCAAACTCAAATAACGTAGGGGGGGGGGGCTAACACGGGTGACGACGCATCTGTATAATCTGCGGCAAACCGTTTCAGGGTGTTCTGTACCATAAAAATAGTACAGAGATTCTTTTGTTCTTTAGACCAAATTGATTATTAAAAAGATTGAAGAATACGCATGTTAATTTCTCTAGAACGACGTACCTCTGACGAAGACATGAGATCTCCGACCTCTAGTTCAGAATAGTTCCAGTTTTGCTGCCCTGAAATCGCATTGGATGCAAGATGTGTAATACTCATGTAAGGATTGGTTGTACAGATTGACAGCGAGTATGACCGTACTTCGATGTTTAATCGCGTGCAAGCGGAACAAATTGTGCGGCACCAACTCTGCTGTGCACATTCAATTAAAGCTTCTCTAAATGTCAGAGGGAAGGATTTCAACTTTACTCAAACGCGGCCGACAATTTGAACACTTAACTTGCAAGGTTACGGGTTCGAGTCCTGACATGCCACCGATCTTGTGCCCTTGAGAAAGGCATTTTACACGACTTTCCTCGCTTAGTTCAGGTGTAAATGAGTATTGTCCTGTCATGTATTTGTCCCCTGTGTTGGTGGCGGCATTAATATAAGTTGAAGAAACTTGAGTGTGCCGTCACCACGTCTGGTGATTACATGTTGGAATAAAGAAAAAAAAATTGCAAGGTCTTAGTCTTGGACGCATGACAGAAGAATTTTCCCAGGGTGATGAAGTGACATTTTAGAATATATTCTCTTTTATTTGCTGCCTATTGAGGTGAACCCTGTCGGAAGGAATTTACCCTTGTAGACGGTAACATCTGACTTCGCGCAGAGTTCTAACGATGGCTTGGGCCCCGGTGCTTTAGAAAAAAAAGGTCAACCTCCGCATACTAAGTGCGCGAATTGAAAGGGAATCGGAATGCTGTGAAAGATCGGATCGTTCCACAACTTATGCCGGGTCTATCCAGGCGAGGGGAGATTGTTAGGAGAGAATGGTGACATTGACAGCTGAGAGCTTCCTGTAAAGGCGCACTGAGCACATGGTTGAGCAATATACCGTACATTTGCAACACTCCGTGTATCCCACACCGTTCTCAACTCTTTGATCTTATTCAAATCCTACGTGTAGGATTCACTGAAGTGAAAATGTGTATTATCTGCTATATGACTGAATCACTCAGTCTTCCTCAGCTATCTGACCCCAATGCTGTGGACACGTGATTTTTCCCACGTGTGACGTCAGCAAAGGGTCAAGGGTTGTCTGAAGTCGATTTGGCCCCCCGTCACGGTTGAGCGAAGGTTGAAGTGCCCTGATGTATATGGCCTCTTTTATGCCTCTCTTGAAGTAATCCTTTTCAGCCTGAAAAGTTTAAAGCGTCTTAACTGTTTATATTAAGGTTAGTGCTTTGTGGTACTAGGGCCATATTGGAACTTTTATTTTAAAATACAACATTCTGTGAAAAGCATAAGAGGGACACGTAGAGTATGAAAATGCTCAGATTTATATAATTTGTTGTGAAGATCTGTAGAAATATTTTTTTTATATTTCTCATATAGACGACGTATATGTTTTTCATATAGCCGACGTATATTTTTCATATAGCCGACGTATATTTTTCATGTAGCCAACGTATGCTTTTCATATAGCCGACGTATATGTTTCATATAGCCAACGTATATTTTTCATACAGCCGACGTATATTTTTCATATAGCCGACGTATATTTTTCATACAGCCGACGTATATTTTTCATATAGCCGACGTATATTTTTCATACAGCCGACGTATATTTTTCATATAGCCGACACATATTTTTCATATAACCGGCGTATATTTTTCATATAGCCGACGTATATTTTTTATATAGCCGACGTATATTTTTCATACAGCCGACGTATATTTTTCATATAGCCGACGTATATTTTTTATATAGCCGACGTATATTTTTTGTATAGCCGACGTATATTTTTCATACAGCCGACGTATATTTTTCATATAGCCGACACATATTTTTCATAAAGCCGACGTCTGTTTTTCATATAGCCGACGTATATTTTTCATATAGTCGACGTATACTTTTCATATAGCCGACGTATATGTTTCATATAGCCGATGTATATGTGTTATATAGCAGACGTATATTTTCCATATAGCCGACGTATATTTTCCAAATAGCCGACGTATATTTTTCATATAACCGACGTATATTTTTCATACAGCCGACGTATATCTTTCATATAGCCGACGTATATTTTTCATATAGCCGACGTATATTTTTTATATAGCCGACGTATATCTTTTTTATAGCCGACGTATATGTTTCATATAGTCGACGTATATTTTTTTATATAGCCGACGTATATTTTTCATATAGCCGACGTATATTTTTCATATCATAAAGCCATCGACTACAATATTGATAAGAAAGAATTTTTTGCAGCAATGATGTTGTTGTGTGCGGTGCTGACGTCACTAGTTGCCATGGCGACGGGCGCAGCTGTGCTGAACAAGGAGGGCAGCACGGTGAAGAAGCTGGTGCTGTTCCCGGAGAAACACGCCTGGTGCGAGACCCAGCCCATCAAACAGGTGTGTACTGCGGTGCGAGACCATAATCGTCTGACCCAAATACGGTCCAAGCGTTTGAACTTCATGTAGACATGCAAATTTGCATTAGTTACGTCATAATCACATAGCAACTTCCAGGTTTGACCATCCAATATGGAGGCAAAATGACGTAATGGTCACGTGAGTGCAAACACCTACAATCACCTCAAAATTGTACATAGCTGAATTTGTTTTTCCGACGTTGTACGAAGGTTGTGGTAAGTTCATTTGACTTTATGTACTTCTGAGTTGCATTTATGTTCTTTTGACAATTTGAGTCGACTAATTTGTGCACTTTTGACTCTTTTAAGAGTCAAAAGTACTTAAAAGTACCGATTATGTTATGTACAACGTTGTTTCAAGTTCTTTAATAATTCCATTTGATGTTTACAGTCTGACCTTTTGATTCGGACTTGGATTTTATGTTTCTATGATTTCTGTACCTATGCTTATGTTCATGCTTATGTTCATCTGCCTTATAAGCCTATATGTACTATGTGGGATGGGCGACAAAAGTCACAAGACACGTAAATAAATATCCATGAATTCTTTCATTCGTATCACTCCCAGGTGGTTGGAGAGCCAGGCTGTAACTCCGTGGAAGTCAACAACAACGTGTGCCTGGGGCAGTGCATCAGCTACCGCGTGCCCAAAACCTACCCGGCAGAGCCCTCTACCGAGGAGCTCAAGTACTGCGACGTCTGTAAACCGTCCAACAGCACTTGGCAGAAGGTGAGTAAACTAGTAGTATTATTGTTTTTTCGTGAAACTTTAAACTTCAACTAGAAAGGCCGACATTTGCTTTGGAGCAAATACAGCAATGGCTTCACCACATTTTACGACATGGCAGGGAAAGAATGAGAAACACAAGGGAAAACAATGCTTTACATTGATATAGTATGAAGTAACATACAACTAAGACTACAACAGTTGGATAGCTATTCCCTACATTATTGGTTAGGATTTTTAATTCCATAATGCAAACTGTTGATTTTCAAGAAAAAAAGAAGTGTTCATGCCCCGCATTCCAATGCTGGAGCAGGAAAGCTTGAAATACCTACCAAAACACTTGAATACAGACATACTGTCAGTATGGAATGGATCTGAGCAGGTATTAATTAAGTTAAGCCTGTTAAATTCCAACAGCCAATCAGCAAGGAGAATAGAGGAAAGCTGCATGCCTATTGGTTGATGCCCTGCATTCCATTGTGATGACTCATGCCCAAATGTGGTAACACTGCACACTAACTCAGTAATACATTTGCTATAACACAGCCAAAAAACTCAAATAAAACCATTCTAAAAGCCTGTATCACAAAAATTTAAAAAACGCCTAGGGGTATTTGCCCACTGTATCTCCATACCAAATTTCAGGACCTTAGGCCCTAAAATGAAGAAGCTGAATCCATTTAAAAAATGGCAGGAGAAGGAGAAGGAGAAGGAGGAGAAGAAACATCAGAAAAAGCAATATGGGTTCACCACCACTTCGTGGTGTGGTGAACCCATAATAAAACACCACCCGTGCGTGCGAGTACGAGCGACGCGCGTGCCCGTACGTACC